ATATGAATATAGATAGATACATATATATATATATATAGATAGATATATATATATATATATATGCGTGTGTGTGTGTGTGTGTTTATGGGTGGGTGGATTTGAGAAATGATGATAAGTGTGTCTATACTAGTACTAGATACGAGAAAGATGGAAGGGAACCAACAACGAATCTCAATTAATCCCTAGTTTCTGATTGATCGATAACTCACTTTCTATTGCACTGTCATTGGGTCTCAATTTTTCCACGACTTCTTATTAGTCGAAAAGATGCATTTTGTCCTATCGGATCACCATATTACTTCATGTCCTATCGGATCTCCGTATTATTTCATTATTTCTGGCTGTTCGAAAACAATTATCCATTATCATTTCAACATTGTTATTTTAAACCTATCTATTAAGCATATCCCCATTGTTATATTATCATTATTATTTTAATTTATTCATCAAACAACATATCCATTCTTATTTTAAACCAGGTTGCAACAGCAGCAGCGAGAGCAGGAGGAGGCCGCGCGCGTACGACGGGAGGCGGAACGCGAACGCGAGCGCATTGCGTTCGAACGGATTGAGGAGCGCAAGAAACAGAGAGAAGAAAACCGGTATGGGAAGGACAGTTGGATAGCGGTTTTATTAGTACTGTTTCGAATGACTGTGGTGTGGTGTGTATAGGGATGTTGTTAGGCGGTCTCATTCAAACGCTAAGAAACCCGGTATGCGAAGAGGGTTGGGTTTATTTGTACTTTTTCGAATGATTGCAGTGTGGTGTATATGTGGATGTTGTTATGAGATCTCATTCAAGTGCGAAGAAACCCGATATGGGGAAGATGGTTGAATAACGGGTTCATAAGTACTGTTTCGAATGATAGTAGTGTGGGGTATATGTGGATGTCGTTAGATCTCATTCGAACGCAAGTGCGAGGAAAACCGGTACGGGAAGACGGTTGGATAGCGGGACCGTTGGTGCTTCTTAGTGGCCGTAGTTTGGTGTACACGTGCGTATCTTAGTGAAGTCTCAAGCGTGCCTGCAGCATAAGGTATATGTGAGTGACGGATTAATGTCTCGTTGGGCAAGTGTGTGTGCATATAGTGGGGTGCCCGGAGAATCAGTAGCAAGAGGTACAGATAGGTTGCAAGTGATAGAGTTCAAGCAGTTGGGGGATCGAGCTGCTGACTCTTGGTAGGACGAGGGACTTGCCTTCATTTGGTCCATCGTATCTGACGATATGTGTGGTTAACCATGAACAAGGTTGTAGAGACGATGTCGGTTATATGAGGGGTTTGAAGCATGTATCAGCAGATAACCCCGTGCATTCCCGTTTATATATATATATGTGTATATATATATATAGTGTATATATATATATATAGATATATATATATATATATATATATATATATATATATATGTAATACTATATATATATATATATAATTATATCTACTTATCTACATATCTACATTTATATATATGTGTGTGTGTGTGTGTGTGTATATAAATGATATATAGATATATGCGTGTCGTGTCGTGTATCTTTATGTATGTATATATATATAAATATATATATTGAAAAGCTATAACATATGTATCTCCCAGATATGAATGTGTGCAAGGCACAATTACAAACATGTGTACCTCTTCTACATCTGTATAGTAGGAAGTGTGCATCAGTACGTATGCTGGAGATATCCCTCGAATTTTACAGTCCAACCCTCACACATTCTTCCGCTTTGACTTTTACACACGAATGCGCCGCGCGCCAGAAATATATACGGGTCGCAGCCAACCAGAGACACGTACACCGCCTCTCCCGATTACGATGACGACGACTATGGCAGAGATACCTACAGTAATCGCAACAGCGGTGGCAAGAAGACCGATGGCTGGGGCCGTGTTATTGCGAGGTAAGACTTTGTGTTGGTCTGTGTGTGAGCATCTCGTCAAGCCAGCAACATTGCAAACTGAATATGTGGGTATGATTGGGTATATATATGTAGGTATGCATGTATGTGGGGGGGGGGAGATGTCTGCTGCCGTTTATATGTGCGTGTGAATGCTTTGTGTGTATGTGTGTGTGCATGTGTATGTACAGCGTCGATTATGACTACCTCTACGTTGGTGGTCGTTTATATATAGAGTATGTGTGACGCTCTCTTTGGCTGCCCGCTTTGCAACCCATGGATATCCTGACGCATGTGTCTGCACGGCACCAGATTCGTAAATGTCATCGATACACCACGTTTGCTGATACCTTTTGTAGAGGAGGGTTACTAATCATAACAACCAGAAAGAAAAGGTAATCTAGAAAAGGCCATAGCCCTGTATCTGTCGCCCTTCCTATCTTCAAGTACCGCACTGACAACAATGGATGTGCTCTACTTCTCCACCCAGCGACTCTTATGATCGCGACGATTACGACAACGACTCCCGCAATGACACAGACAGCTACAGAGACGACACCTATGACAACAACTACAACTCAGACGACTACGGTGGTTACGGACAGGTACGGTAACTATGTGTATCTTTGTATTTATACCCGTAGATCTAGGACTGTGTTGTGTATGTCACTCGTCGAGCGACGTGTATGGATTACCAACATGGCTGTATACCGTTTCATACACGCAGACCGACGAAGCCGAAGATCGGAGGAAACAGTATTCTGTGCGCGACGAAGAAGTGCTTGCCGCATTCGATTACGCGGGCGAGAAGAGCGATGACTTGTCCTTCTTCGAGGGAGATACCATCACTGTCACCGCCAAGGATCCAGGTATGTGTGTTGCATTATAATGTTTGTCTATGTGAGTGCGTCTGGCACAAAGCTCGTGCCTTGATATAGATACTGGTACATGCGTGTTGTATTTTGCATGTTTGTTTTGTTTTTTTCTATAGTGTATAGGGGGAAAGTATCTCTTCCCACGGTATAGATTGTACTATACACGTGTTGTGTGCTGCAAGGTTTGTTTGTGTGCGTACTTCTGGACCGATCTCTCTCTATTGGATAGATGCTCGCATAAATGTGTTGGACCAAATATGTACGTATATTTTTTGATTACTTACCTCTGTGTGTGTGTATCACGCAGCACACAAACATTCGAGTGCCTCCATCATCGTGTCCTACTGTCCGTGTTCTCTCACTCCCATTCCCACTGGTCATTAGGTGGGGATTTGTAGTATATGTAAAACAGTATTCCCAGCGCTCTAACCTGGAAAGCGTGTAGATTCTTGGTAGTACAACGCCTTGTAGGCTCGCAGGCCTTCTCATCTTTAGAAGGTACGGGCTGTGTCATGCTTATCTGCCTGTTGCTTTGACCAACCTGTTCTTCGCCACGCTTATCGCATCACGTGCTTTCCCAATTGCTGAGTAGATGGCTGGTGGTATGGCGAGTGCGCTGGATTTGCTGGTTGGTTCCCCTCGACCTATGTGGAGGCTTCTGCTATATCTACGTACAGGTAAGGCCGTTCAACTCAACGTCACAGCAGTGTGCGGAAGGATATGATTCTCTATGCAGTCTCCAAGTATACTTATACGTGTGCGTGTGTGTGTGTGTGCGTGTTCAAAGTACGACATAGACATTCTGTTGTTCTCCGCAACTATAAGCCAGACGGGCGACGTATGTGCACATACGAATGTCCATTCTACACAACTGCGTAAGTAAAACGTCTGCATGATTATACTATATTTCTATGAGTACGATGGCTCAATAGGTGTACTGTATCCTCTCTATACACACCACCATCCCTATAGCGAGGATGTGCTTCCCCCGGCACCCGAAGAGTCTGACCAAGAGTCCGACGACACACTCAGCAGCGCATATGCGCAGCCTGGGGCTATTCACTATGCCCTGTACAACTACGACGGTGAAGAAGAGAGCGACTTGGCCTTCAGGGGCGGCGACGCTATCACTGTGCTCGAGGCGAACGAGGACGGCTGGTGGAAGGGTGAGCTAGACGGCCGAGTTGGGTACTTCCCATCAAATCACGTGGTAAGTGTGTGTGTATGCGGGACGGAAAAGTAGTATGTATTTATGTGTGTGTGTGTGTGTGTGTGCATGTGTATATGTGTATGTTATAGAGAGAGAGATGTGGGCGTGGGAGTAATAGTTTTTGCGTTTAGGGCGACGATGCTATGATTATGTTCGATGCTAGTTAAGTTAACTGGTAGAGGTGTATGCTATATGGCAGATTTGGGTACTTTACGTCTATATACGTGGTAAGAATATGAGAGCTTGGAGCGAAACATTTAGTAGGATAGACTGCGAGTTCAATGTCTGAAGCGTTCATTATGTTAGTGTGTCCATGTATGATGGCCAGCGGGTCCAGTGTAAGGAGCATTCATCTGCAAGTTTACATTTATGTTAGAGTGTGTGCACATGAGTATATGAGCTGCTGCTGGTGATATAGCTCACCGATATGTGTGTGTTTTCAACGTTGGTCAGACCTTTTCTTTTCTTTTTTTTGGTGTGGAGTTGATATATATGATTTGTTATGTAGGCATCTGCGCTATGGCTTCTCTCCTCATGTCTGTGTTCGTGGAGGTATAGTTCATTCGAGTAATCAGCATGAGGTGTATGTGTGCATATTTATGTGTCATAGTCTACGTGTGTCCTTCATATATATCTATGTGTGTGTGTGCTTTTAATCCCCGTGTTATGTGATCCCACACTAAACACCTTACCAGTCGAGTCACTCTCACGCACACGTTCGCGCCTTGATACTCGCGCGGCCCCACGAGTACCCAATGCACATATTCACACTCACCCCTCCCACACACGAACGCAAACAATACGCAGACGCACAAACACACTGACACTCACACTCCCTCACACCGCTACATGCATCCATCCATACACACATGTGCACGCACAAACACAACGCTCACGGATCGCATACGTACGCTCACCTTCACACCTCGACATGCACGCGACCATGCACACACAGGACCCACTGCCCATGTCTCCCGAGGATGTGGATGCGCTCCAGGCGCCCCCTCCAATGCCAGATGGCAATAGTCGCGATAACTTCGATGATTATAGCAATGACAACATCTATGATGACATGCCTGCACCACCCCCACCCATGGATGAAGAGTCTGAGTCTGAACCAGAGCCCGAACCTGAACCTGAACCTCGGATTCCCACACCTCCACCTGCAGGTATGAATGTTTGTATGTATGTATGTGTATATATATATGTATGTATATATATATATATATATATATATGTATGTTTGTATGTATGTATGTATATGTATGTTTGTTTGTATGTATATGTATACGTATGTATATTTCAATATATATGTATACGCATGGATATATGTATGTTTGTATGTTTGTATGTATGTGTATGTATGTATGTATGTATGTATTTTTGTATATTTATATATATGTGTGTGTGTGTGTGTATGTGTGCGTGTGCGAGTATGTGTCTCTGTCTGTGTCTGTGTGTGTAGAGACTTGCATGGATAGGGCTATTCGCGCGTAGTTTATGTATGCAAGTACGGAATATGTACGTGTTGTAGACGGTGCCTTTAGCTGGGCAAGGGTATCTCAATATACAATTGAGCTATATCCTCGAGCTTGTGCGTGGGAGATCTTAGAGACGACTGCCGCTTAATGGCCAGACACCGTGTGCGCACACAGTAGCTGAGCACGAACATGGGAATACAGTCACATACAATACATTACATTCGTGAACATGGATACATTCACGTACGATACATGCATGAATATACATACCTCCACATGCAAAACTTACATGTATGTATGTAGAGCAAACGATCTTGAAGTCCTACTAATAAAGCATATCCTTTCTATTTCAAGCAGTGGAGTCACCCCCACCTCAAAGGAAAGAATCTGCGCATGGAGAGAGTTCAGAGACCGCCGCCGAGTGGGTGCGTGCGATGCACCCGTACGTGGGAACTAATCACGACGAACTAACCTTTCAGCCGGGAGATGTGTTCAGTGTCAGTCAAAAGGACTCAGAAGGGTACGGTGAAGCTATATGAGTTTATATATATATATATACATTCATGTATCTATGAATACAGAGGGGCTGTCTTTTTTTTCTAAGTGTGAGTTTCTGTATACGGGGCATTCAAGATAGTACAGAGGGACTGTATGCGACCCCAGGTGCACGTATTCCGACAATAGTACATACGTCCGCACCTGGAGGAAGCCCTGGGACGGCACATGAGTGAGAATGTCCACACACCCCGTACGTGGGAACCCTGCTCCACTAAATGCGCCTCACAAACGATCGATACATTCAGTGCTAAGCCAAAGGATGAATTCCTGCATGTCTGCTCACCTGAAAAACTTTCACCTCTTTCTGTGCAGTTGGTGGGAAGGCACGCTCAATGGGAAAACCGGATGGTTCCCCCAGGCTTATGTGGTAAGTCGGTCACGTCACACACTACTTGCAGACATGTTTTATGTATGTCCCGATGCATTGTACATGGCTATTTATACTACTTGAGTGCGGCAAAGTGGATTCAGCCCTAGTGTTGACTTAAAATGGAATTGCACTACCGTTAGGTAAAGTTAAGTTAGCTCAATATATGTAACCCTGTCAAGGGGTAGGAAATATTTAGCCTTTTATCTGGTCTGTCCCGGCGCTGTGAGTTGTAATTTCGTCCGACTTCAGGAGCTGCCCGCAGTTCGTCGTGATGGTAGATATATATACTCGTACAAAGACCAATATATCACGAATACATATCCGTGTTGTATACAATCAGTATTTGACTACAAAGCGTATATTTCTATGTGCTTAGTAATTCAGGCGAATGTCTTCCTGTTTTCTGGTGCCTGTTCGCGCATACGATGTCTCGTGAGTATCGACTGGCTCAAGCCATTCCTCTGCCCCGCCTCCCCAAGTGCTCACTTCTGAGGCATGAGTCGTTTAAATTGAAGTACATATCATTCAATTCCACCTTCAGAATGTGTTCACACGGTGTGTTTATGCTGAAATTGCTTGCTACCATGAATACATAATGGGCCTAAGTAGACTATTTTCAATTTCGAAAGAAAAAAGAAACCGCCCCAACTGAAGCGCACGGAGTATTGGTCGTTCCAAACCCGTATTGTCTGTCGTCTCAAATAACCCCTTACCCTTAAACGCTCATTTCTAGATGCATGTTATAACATGAGAAATTGAGACCGCTTTTTGATATATGGATCGAACTTTGCTTAATCTTCGGCTAGTACGAGTTTCAAACTATTTGTGTCTATCTAACAATACTAGAGTTGAATAGTATAGCGTCTGTGTATATGACCACTGTAGTGTTACTTTAAAGTTTGCTGGACATCGAGAGTTGTGCCCATAACAATTCTATTATCAAAGAGTCCTATATTTCTATCCCTACAGGAACCAGCGGGTAATGGACCGAGTACTCCAACGGCGCAGGAGACGGCCCCTGCTGCGGCGGCTGATAAAGCAACATCTAATCCATTCGGAGCTCAGGAGGAAGTCACACCTCGACCTCAGAAGCCTAGTAAGTGTCTCGTCTCTGGTTGTGTGCCATGCAGAGTATTATACATGGTTGTATCTTGTGTAGAGTGTATGTTTCCACGGATTTGATCTCGTGTGTGTGTGTGTGCGGTTGCCCTATGTGATACTGCAATGTGAAGCTTGTGTCTTGTTGGTTGAACTGGTGGGCTGCTCCTTGGCATTTTTACTGCAATGGAATTTCCAAGGATGTGCCCATCCCAACTCGAATAACACGGATCCATATCAGGATTTGAAGTTTCTGGCTTGTCCGGCAGTCAAACTAATGCATTCCACCACAGTCATAACCATGTATGCGAAATTTTATATTCGCACATACAATATAAGGATAGTCGAGTGCTTCATTGGCGTACCATTCTCCAACCGAGTACGACTTCTCTGTAAGAATCATACATTGAAAGGAAGGCTTGACGACATACAGGTTTGGGCCACTGTATAGTATGACTGTATCCCCTGCCATCGAATTGTTGTCTAAGCGTTCTCAATACATCGAACAGTGATTGCGAAGGTGCTCGAGGACTACAAGGCCGAGGATGAGGGTCAATTAAGTCTCAAAAAAGGCGCTCTGGTGTCGGTCACTTTCCAGGACGACAGCGGCTGGTGGGAAGGCACGATCAGGTACATATCACGGATCTAAGTGGAGAACCGCTTTGTTTTTGTAATATATCAATACTTCAACATGCTGATGCATATACTTGTAAGCCGTGAAGTATATGGCTTAGCGTTGTGCGATAGTTAGCAATTAGTTTCTAAGTTGCGAGTGCACGGGTCCATTGCGGCTTGGCTTTTGCCTTTTACCTTGCTTGCCATTGAAACGTTGTGCTAGTAGATGATATAGACACTGCATCGCTCCTCGGTTCGGAATTCTGGTTTCCATGGTGTCCATTGTTCACATTCGCTCTCGCTTTTGGTTCCGTTGCACTGGCATCGAGGATCGTTGTCATGGTGTATTTGACATGAGACGGACGCCTACGGTGTCAAATATCTCCTGATCACATATACAATACGACAGTTCTACGCACGCGTTGAATGGAATATGATTTTTGAAAATTCGGATGTGCATCTACTTTCTTACGAGATTCTATGTGAAATCATAGTACCTCCGCTATCGATCACCATCCTAAGCGTTGTCTGTTCTGAACTACTCCACCCGGCAATATGTAGTGTCAAAGGCAAGGGAAAACAATCTGGCTGGTTCCCAGCGTCGTATACAATGCTGATGGGCAAAGGTAACGACCGAGCGTCAAAGGCTCAGTCCGTGGTAGAGCCTGCAGAGAAGTTCGCCACCGTCATGTACGACTTTGAAGGTGAGTGGTGTGGACGCGATGCACGACTATCTGTCCTCTAGGTCGATCCTTTGTCATATAGTAGTTTCAAAGGAATTTCGCCCGTCATGAATTGTGGTTCGAACAAAACCCGCTTGAGAATGATGTTGACCTTTATTTATTTATTTGAAGTGTTACTGAATTGAGTCAGGTTCAGTTAAATTCCATACACTAGCAATTGGGTAAGTTATTCGCTCATGGAAATCAGGTCAGTAAATCTCTACGAGACCGATTAAACCCCATCCTTTCAACGAGGAATGTTAGGTTCGGTATGCATCACATACTCATTTTTCTACATAAAATGGCATATAAACTCTTACTTGCTTGCATTCTTCGTGGGTGCGCTTCTGTAGTACATTCTAAATCGGAGTGTAACTCAATTATATCTCCAATGCTAATGCAGGTGGTGAGGAGGAGTCTCTACCGGTATCGGCAGGTGACAAAATCAAGATTTTGGAGCAACCTGAAGGCGAGTGGTGGCAAGGAGAGCTTAATGGCAAGGTATGTTTGTCGCACATTGGCACAATGATCTTTCGATAACGCTTCTGCATATTTCCGTGGGTGCATATGTTGTAGAATTTAAAATCAAGTCTCCGTTCGCGAATAATTTACAGTATCCTTATATACAATGGTGTAGTGGAGTTGTGGAGATAAGGACATATTCACACTTAATAAGTGTACGTAGGTCCCAAGTGTAAAATCATGTGACTGTTTGCTCCCGTGTGCTCATTATTTGAGTGTTTCGCAGTGAGTTCTCATTCACACCACAGGAAATTTTACATTTTGCATCAAGCATTAATTTTCAACTTCTAAGGAATATTTTGAGATTGGTACTACGCTTTTATGATTGAGAATTGAACCCGATTGTCTGACATACATTGCATTTCAATCACAAATGTAACTTCAATTGTCCCTCGTACTCCATCAGATTGGATGGGTGCCTGCCGCATTTGTGGAGATGATTCAGTGAATTGGCCGGTGAGAATATTAAGCCCAACACTTCCTTAGGGTCCTGGTTTTTCACCATAACTATTCAGAAGGTGGTCGGAGCCAAGTATACAATAAAAAATATGATGAATAAAACATTATAAACCAATACGCTTGAAATCTGAAATAGTTCAACCATTTTATCATCTATAAGAGGATGCGAATATTCGCTATACGAGCCATAACTAGGCTAACGTCAATATGGCAAAAAAAAACCCCCCCCCGATTGAGATCTTTATACTGTAAGGTATACGCCCGCCAAAATTTAAAAAACTGGCCCTGAAAACTCCTTACCGGCCCTGAAAACTCCTTACCGGCCAGCAAGCGCCAAAGACAATATGCTGTTGGCATGTTTTCAGATGCATTTGCAAAAAAAAAAATTATGTTGATCACACTTACTATCTCTGTCTTTATCGCACGACACAACAAGCAGCTTCTCATTTACCATAACATTCGTAATATTGTCAGGGTTAGCTACCAACGCAACGAAAGTACTTTAGATTCCGATTCTACTTCAGGTTGGACATCAGCACTTGATTCTTCCACGGGTGTCGGTAGTGATAAAACAGGGACACATCCTGTACGTGGACGCTTTCCTTTCTTGAATCGATGGAGCGGGATGCCCTCCTCTCGCTTCACTAAAGCGCACTCTCTAACACAACAGTGGCCCCCCGAGCCCTTCATCTAACCTATCACTAAGGTTGCTTTGGAATTCCACAAGTAGATACTGCAACGACTGCAACCAATTCATCAACCTCACCTACACTAACCTAACACACGCACCAGATCATACAGTATAGTAATATACATACATATTATACGAACCAATATGAAGCCAAATTGAAGCCAGCATGAAGCCAAATTGAAGCCAGCGTGAAGCCATCTTGAAGCTATTTTGAAGCCATCTTGAAGCTATTTTGAAGCCATCTTGAAGCTATTTTGAAGCCATCTTGAAGCCATCTTGAAGCTAAAATAAAATAGATTTTCAAATAATTTCATAATTTTCAATTTGAAGCCAATACGAAGCCAATTGTTTTTATTTACTCCGGAATTGTCCATGGTGAAGCCACGTTGAATCGAACGGTTGCAATCGCCAATAGCTCCCCACATAGACATCGGACTACCTACTTAAAGGTACCGACGTGCTCATATTGACACACACTTTCGATTGGTACTGCATATGTCCGTGTCCAATCAAATGTCGACTTAGTCACTATATTTGTCCCGTACGATTGGTAACAGGATTTTCACAAAAGTGGCTCTTAAGTTGAACTTGGAGTTACTTTATTAGTAATTGCGATTGGAGCATTGTTTCGAAGCATGAAAGGATAAGGGAATGAAATATCATGCGTCCAATGAAATGAAATGAAATATCATGCGTCCAATGAAATGAAATGAAATCTGATCTTAGTTTCTGACACCAAATAAATCTAGATAAATACCCTAATCTTTAGACCAGTACCGAGGGCTGAAGCTAAACTTAAATTACATTGTGCGAATTTACTCCTAAATCGTATTTTCTTTTTAAGTTTACTTATTGGTATCGATAGGGATGATATTATTTATTTCAAGAGAGTTAAGTTTCAAGTAGAGTTGGCATGAGGGTTCAGTAGAGCATCCATGCTGCGGGCAAGAATTTTTGGCCGAGCCTCCCGCTTGGTACAGAGATAGTGGATTAAAGCTGCTTTCGTAGCTCCGGGATGATGTTGGGAGCGGGTGTCGATGTTTTTATCTAATTGCCATTCCCACGTAAGTGTTGCATGTCGTTTCACCTGGGCGACAGCGTCGCTAGAAACACAAAGGCGGACGAAACTGGTGAATCTCCCGCGGCGATTTGGTTGAGAAACCGATTTGGACGGGAAATACCAAAGAAAGTGATGGCAATTGGGGAGCGGTTGGGCGTGCCGGTAATTTTCAGATACTGATTGGGATGGGGACTCGCCGTTAGAGAAAATTGCCCAGAAGAAGAGCCATACCGGAGTTATGTCATCCATTTCGTGGAGAGTTTTGTCCGGCATAGCGCGGCCCATCACTTTCGTCAAAAGCTCTGAGGGTGCTGGCGGCTGCAGGATGGGCTGAGAAGCTGGTGGGGTCGTCAGCCTGGTTAGTTTGGCTTTTACATAATTTTAAGTTTATATCGCTATCGACATCATGACGAAGCGTAGAGGAAAAGCGAAGGCATCCAAGAATTCGCCTAAGAAGACGAGCATTAAGCACACCTTGACCCCTGACTCTTTCGCAGACGATGCGGTCGACACTTTGATGGAAGCGGCTCCACCCCCCGAAGTGATCGAAGACACGATGGTCGGTAGACCGAAGTCCAAGAAGTCCAATAAGTCTAAGGACGAGACCGGTGATATGAGCACCAAGAAGTCCAAGAAGAAGAAGGATGAGAAAAGCACCAAGAAGGACTGATCGAAAGAGACGAAACAGCCGGAACCGGAAAATCCAACACCAGCCTTGGTATCAGAATCGGAACCGGACTTGGATTCGGAAGGTGAAAATTCGGAAGAATTCGACACCGACGATTACTTTCAGAAGTAACGTAAGTTGGCAGCCGCTTTCGAGAATTACAAGGAGCAGAAGAAGACCAACAAGAAAAAATTCACTGTGGAAGAGAAATCGGAAAGCTCTAGTGGAGACGAGAGTCAATCATCACTAGAGTTTGAGGAGCCAGATTCTTCGGGACCCGACTACCAGCCTCCTTCTACCAAGCGTCAAGACTGCGACAGCAATGACTGTTAGCGTGCGGTGTGGGGGACTAATAGTAAAGTGTAAATGTATCTAAAGTATGGTGCATTCGAATGAATTTATTTATGATCTCACCCTCAGTTATATACTGATGGTGTTTGTACTAGTGTTCAACCACTTGGGTTGGCCAGGGTAAAAACTCCTATGATCAGTATGAGAAACCTTATGCAGAACACTTTAGCACTCGGATATATTTTCTAGAAATAAATATATCATATTCCCTGTTACTATACTCAGTCTCGGACCTCGGCTCTCGGCTAGCCAGTGGCCCGTATTCTATAAATAGAATATCTAAGAAGAAGTCTCAAATTACTCTTACGTTCTCTCGGGCTGACCCACCTATGCTTATATTAATTTAAGAACAAGTCCCAAATTACTCTCGGGCTGACGACGTAAAACGTTATTAACGTATATAGAAATACGTCTACTGCTGTAGTCTCTCAATGACTAAGCGGAATAAGAAGCCGAAAGACGATGGTGACGACGGGGATGATCAGTGACTGCATGGTATAGGGGAGACGGACACTCTGATTGACGAGACTTCGGAGAGTTACAGGAAGATTGCTGATTTTCACTGCTCGAATGTTCCATGCAGAAGAGGAGGCAACGCTAGCAATGGATTAAGGGAAGATATAGCAAGTCGGTTTGCGAATGACAATGGCAAGGCACTTTCAATCCAAGATCGATACGGAGCTACGCATGTCAAGGACATAGGTAAGTTACCCACTACGTATCGTCCAGATCGAAAAGACCGTAAGGACCCTATCGATAATAGTAATTTAGCGTTATTGTCGAGATCTTTGAAAGGAATTTGGTCAAATTCAAGGACATAGGTAAGTTACCCACTACGTATCGTCCAGATCGAAAAGACCTTAAGGACCCTATCGATAAGAGTAACTTAGCGTTATTGTCGAGATCTTTGAAGGAATTTGGTCAGATCATGCTTACTGCAAACTTACGTCAGAACCGATGGTTCGAAGCTGCGCAACAGAGTTTTAAGCCATCATCTTATAAGTATAGTAATTTGGAGAAGGCCAAAGCTGCTGTAACAAAGCTGAAGACGTGAAAGGAGCAGAGCGAGATGATAGTCCATCTGTTTTCAACAGACCCCCGCCCGGAACTGTTGGTATTCATCATGGTACCACCGGACGAAGGAACACCAGTATCCCATTACCTCTGGGAATTGGACATGTAAGATTCGGTCTAATAAAGGCGATGCCAATGCCTTAGAATAAATAAACGCGTAGATAAATTCTATATCGTGTAAATATCGATATAAATAAACGAAATGAGACGTTTAATAAAGTTAGGTTTGCCTCGTGAAAACAGCAATACTCTGAGGGATTGTGAGGCTGAGACATTGCCTATATATAATCCTCTCAGTACTGTTTCCGCCGAAGGGTTTTTATTTAGTGTTTCGTTGTCGCTCTATTCTGGGGGCGAATCCGAGAGACTCATAAAATCCTATCTTTAGAAAAAAGAAATAAAAATAAAAATACTCTTGACGTCTTTAGTTATTGTCTTAACCAATAACTTGCCACTATCAAGAATTACCGACTTGGCCTTCATCAGACTGGCACATCTGGTTGGCTTATCGGAGGATCAACTAGGTAACGTTAATAGTCCCTAGAAACCTATATTCGGTTGAGCCATCTCGCTACCGAAGTATTCAGATATAAATAAAATTGGAAAGTAAATAAAGCTCTATTAATAGAACTAGGCCAACTCTTTTATGTTTGGTATTTTACTGAGGCCTTTTAATGGCCTCATCCAAATATCTGATATGTTAAATGGAAAAGGTTTAATTAATAAAACCATTAAAACCCATTTTAGGAAATTTAAGTTCCTCGTGCTATTAAGAGCACATTTAGGAAACTTAAGTTCCTCGTACTATTAAGAGTACATTTAGGAAACTTAAGTTCCTCTTGCTATTAAGAGCACATTTAGGAGACTTAAGTTCCTCGTACTATTAAGAGTACATTTAGGAGACTTAAGTTCCTAGTACTATTAAGAGTACATTTAGGAAACTTAAGTTCCTCTTGCTATTAAGAGCACATTTAAGAGACTTAAGTTCCTCGTACTATTAAGAGTACATTTAGGAAACTTAAGTTCCTCGTACTATTAAGAGTACGTTTATACATAAAGTCTAATGTGGAGGCCCGGCTTATTATAGACACCCATATGTCACCTGCTCAAACATATGAAATGTCACCCGACAAGTTGAGCATGTGTGTGTTGTGGGTACAAACAATCTTTTGCTCGGCTTTTCACCGAGAAGACCAAGTGGTATTGTGCGCAGGCATGCATCAATCTTATCCAGACAAGGTACGCGAGATTTCAATTGAAAGACCAACCTATTGTATAATGAAACTCGCCGACCTGACATGGACTGAACTTTATCCGAGAGCAGATCAGACGTTTTCAAAACGTCCGATATCTGTAGTGAAATTAACACAGCCAAGTAAGAAGGTTGTGCCCAACACGAATGGAGGACCAGGGAATGGTCGAGACTCACATACGGGAGCGGGAAACAATAAAGGAAACAAAGGTGGAGATATAAAGGTGGCCAGAAGAACAAGCATGTGCAAGGTACTGGTGGTCACAAGAACAATGTCAACACCCGTGGGACCTTGGGCAACAAATCCGCTCAGTCAACAGAGCCTCCTAAGCCAAAGTATATGGAGATCAAGGATTGTGCTGGGACGGATTGTAGCTGGCGCATGACCCAACATGAGCCGAATGGACGCTGGAATGGCAGGCACGCGGAGAATTGTAAACATTTTATCGCGAAGTGTGCTGTGTGCTGACTGCGCAGGGACTAGGGGCTACCACAAGCATATGTGTAAGGTGCAACCGAAGGTAGAAGTTAAGTGACAATCTTACCGGATCTTGGCACTGAAACAAAAGGATGCACCGCAAGATGGACGTGTCATTCTAGATGCACGAGTTAATGGGCATGAAATAAAAGCATTGTTAAATCCGGGCTCGCAAATTTCATGTATGTCATCGAGATTCTGTGAGATAACTGATGTAACTCGTAAATCAGAACCTACTATGTTTAAATTAGCTGACGAAAGAGAGATTGCGTGTCGTGACATGGCGGTAGATTTGAGGTTTATCCACACCGATCAACGGACAACAGCTACAAAGGCGGTCGTCTGTAATACTTTGCCCGACTATGATTTGATAGTGGGGATGGGGGATCTGTTGTCATTAGGTATAACGATTACCGGTTTACCGACAAGCATTGACCCACAAAAGGATCAATCAGATGATAATCTGTTGATGCCTGTATACAAGCCTTCTAAGACTGTGTGAGAGAGGATACCTCAATTTACAGAAAATCTAAAGGATCTTATCTGTGAGAATAACAAGATCAGAATCACTGACTGTACTCAGTTCTAAAACTGTGAAAGTGATAGTAAGTCAATTTATAGGGAAGCTAAAGGATCTTATCTTTGACAATAACAAGATCAGGATCACTGACTGGGTTCAGTTTAAATCCAACAACGGACTCGTGAGCTTAGACCTGACAAAGTAGACTCTTCGAAGTTGAAATGTCCGACGCGTAACTACGTAGCATGGCGTCATGAACAGGTAGTTAGAGAACAGGTTAAGGCCTGGTTAGAAGATGGAGTTATTGCGGTAAATTACTAACTGACTCCAGCCAATCTAGAACTCTTGGCAGTAGACCAGTTCAGCTCAGATGGTACGTTAAAGAAGTTTTGCGTGTGCCTAGATATGAGTCCTATAAACGCTCTTATACCTGCACACAACTTTCAACTACCAAGAATTAACGAATTGCTGAGAAGAATGGAAGGGGCGAAGATATTCTCGACCATAGATGGAAGTATTTTACCTTCACTTGGGATGGACAGCAGTATTCCTTCAAGGGTGCACCATTTGGTTTACATTTTTTACCAGTCTTCCTTCAGCAGATCATGCAGGACCTGTTTAGAGACATGGACAATGTACAGGTATATATCGACAATATAGTGGTATTTACTAAAACCAAAGAGAAGCATGATAGAGTTATGCGTGAGGTTTAGCTAGGCTAAACAAGCATAAGTTCAAAATCAACCGCAAGAAATGCCAGTTTGGCGTAAACGGGATTCAGCTGTTGAGATACTGAGTTTCCGGGGATGGCATTATGATCGACAGCGGAAAGGTCGAACACTTGTTAGACTGGAGAACCCCCACTACACGCAAGGATGTCAATAGCATGTGTGGATTCGTCAAGTTCCTGTCAGGCGGAGTTCCTCACTTAGCAAGTTACCTTAAACCCTTCGGACAAACCCTTCGGACATTTACGTTGTCACGAGGGTAAATTGGGGGCATTGTGGACCAAAAAATGGTGATGATGCCTTTAAGCAGCTCAAAACAGTGGTTCAGAAAGCTCAAATAGTCCAGCCACCGAAAGATGGGATACCGTTTATGGTGGCTACATACGCATCCGACATGGCGTTGGGAGCCGTGCTGTATCAAATGATAGAAGTAAAACCGAGATACGCGCAGTTCTTTAGCAGGGCTATGAATTCGTCACAAATCAACTACCCGACGGTGCAACAAGAGCTCCTGGCTGTTGTAACTACACTCACTCATTTCAAGGACTACTTATACGGTACACACTTCAATGTACTGTGCGATCAGAAATCGTTGCAACATTTAAAAGACATGAAACCCAATTCTCAGTTGGTCAGTCGATGGCACGATACAATCGCGAAAATTTTATTCAGCATAACACATTCCGGGAATACACAATTAATTACCGGATATGTTATTCCGCTTCGTACCGGACTTCAACAAGATGGTTCGGGAGTTACTAGCTATGGATTAGATGGTCAATTCTAGATGGTTTAAGATCGCAGACGACATATATGGTCCGCATACCATTGACATGTTTTCAGCTCACCATAATGCGCGACTGCCACGATACCGGACTTTAGAACATCCAGAGGGTGATGCGTTTCAAATCGACTTAACAGATGAAAACGCATGGGCGAATCCACCGTGGTTGTTGATACCACAGTTGCTTAATTATGTACATATACAAGATGCTACCATCACGTTTTGGGTTGTCCCTTAAGACATTCATATAAATGAGTTCCGCAGTTGCTATCAATGATACAATGTGAGCCCATATATGTGGATAGAGAGGTATATACTTTCCTCTACCAAGGTACCTGTGTAGTCCAGAAGACGCCTTGGCGACATACAATAATATGTTGAATAGATCCAGTTGGCATATCCAAATGGACACAATCCGAGATCTTCAAACGAAAGGTTGAAGAATCCAAGATGCCACTCTTGACACCTAAGTCTCAACATGAGGCTAGGACGACACATGCACCTGCAGCATGCGTCACCGAGGTACAATCTGATCCTACAGAATCAACGAGGTACTCATCACTAGCGAAAGCATTCTACAGGAAGATATGTTCTGACAGAGCAACTACATACGAAGCCAAGACATGGTTACTCAAAGTTGATGACCGATTTTCCAGATGTATACGACCACGTAACTCAACTAGTGGACAAGGCGAATTCACAAGGTAGATCTTTCATGCGAGATGGGACCAGACGAGTCATCAAGTCCAAGTGATGAAGCAGTGAAATCCTTTGACACAGCAAGTTCATCGGAGGAAGCTATTCTGAAGTGGCTAAGGCAGAATTCTGTGTTCAAACACATGGATAAGGTTAGGACTGAGAAACATTGCAAAAGGTACGTGATTGTACTTCTAAAATCTTAAGCGATATATAACTCAGGTTTATCACGAATGCAACGACTGCGAAATTAACCGGATCAAGCGCTACGGATATGCTCCGTTGCGAAGCGTATCAGAAGATGAGCCGTGGTGCAGGGTTATCATTGACTTGGTTGAGCTACCCTCGTCCGAACACACGAAGGATAAGTATGTCTGTCACGTGTTTGATGTTGCTTCAAGATAAAACATATTATATCCTCTGAAAGATAAATCAACACAAACTGTGGCTGAATCTTGGCTGGCCAGTTATTGTATGTTCCGACAATGGTAGTGAGTTTATAGGGGATGCCATGACGACACAGTTACTCGTTGCGGGATCATGCCATAAGATGGGCGTACCTTATAAGCCTCAGACACTAGATGCGAATGAGGTACGTCATAGAAAGATGAAGAGGTTCATGCGTGGAGCATTGCTAGACGACGCTGACACGTGACCTTACTCAATCAACTGGGTACAGACACAAATGAACGAGACACCTGATTCAGTAATTGGTACAACACCCGCTCACTATTTCAAGGACCGTTATAGTGAATTACAAGTACTTTTCAACAAGAATTCTCAAGAAGATCATGTGTTACCATGGTTAGAGACGATGCGTCGTACCAGAGACGTCGTCTTTCCTTGTTTGAGAAAAATGAAGGATATCGCACTCAAGAAAAGACAGAAGCGATGAAATGACTCAAAGAAGACAGTCGAGTTTGAGGTAGGCGATATAGTCATCATCATGGCTCACAATTCCGACACAACTGTGCTTACGGCTAAATACATTGGACCATTCAAGATTTCAGTGCCCTTGAAGAAGAGCGGAACTTACGAGGTGAACAATGATGACGATTCAGGCGCTCTTAATATCGGATCACATCGCATTCCGATGATATAAATCATCCTTCGCCGCGCACGTGAAGCTACTACACCTCATATCTTACGAAATTAAGAAGATTCTGTGGAAGTACAAGCATGAGGACATGACATGCTACACAACGGAGTTTGCAGATGGCGCACAATACGATCCACCTTCATCAGTATTTGATGATCCAGACGCATTGAAGGCTTTTAATAAGACGTTTTGCAAACGTTGATGCGGAGGCTATCGTACCTACAAACAAACGTTCTGATGTAGTCAAGATATATTTGCAGACATCATTCATTCTAAGGTTCAAAGACCATGGAATGTACATACCCCCAAAAGGCACTAAGAAACGTCCCATCCACCATCGGGGACCACAAGGACCTAAACCCAAACGTAATAGAGCAACCGTGTATCTTATAAAGTCTAAGTAAACTTTGTCTACGAGAATATAATATAAGCATTGAGGCCAATATATGATCGAAACCCGTTTCTTCCTTTAGCTTGTACAATTCATGTTAGCTTTTCGAGTATGTATGCTTCAAAACACATATAAGCCAACATATGAATTTTAAAGCTGAGGAAGGGGGGGGAGGGGGGGAGGGGCTGTGTAAAATCAGCGGGTTCCTATAGTAGAAGCACATGATAAAAGTATATTATAAACGTACTAACGTTTAAGCGTTGAAACGCAATTGTAGATATTTGTGACTGCAAAACAATCAAATAATCTAGATTTAGATATATTGAAATGCAGAAAACAAACAAACAAACAAATAATCTGTTATTAGATATTTGTAATTGCATACAACAGAGGTCGGAGGCTCTGTTGATATTGATATTGTGGCTTTTCTATAACGATATGTTTTCCACCAGAGAATATTGGGATATAATACTTAGGAGTCTCAGGTGAAATTGACACTTGATGACACATGTTATATTTCCGAATTCTCTCAGCGCGAGATAACCCACTGAGAAATGGGGCATGAAAATGACCCCCCCTAGCCAGCTGACTAGATGTGCCCGCCTATGCCTTCAATGGAATGGAGAGTTAGGTACCATGTGATGGGGCATAGGTGCAGACATTTAACTGTACCAACATTGTGTTTTTGATTTATTTTTAATTTTCTTAAGTTGGACTTAGAGTTATTTTATTAGCAATTGCGATTGGAGAACTGCTTCAAAGCATTAAATGATAGGGGAAGGAAATATCTTGCATCCAATGCAATAAAATCTGATCTTAGATACTGATACCAAATAAATCTAGTCTAGAGTGAAGTAGTGAGTAATTAGAGTGGAACTATATAGACAATAGTCTCAGTCTTAAATCCCCTAATATTTAGCTCATTGCCGACGGCTGACGCTGAACTTAAATTACATTGTGTAAATTTACTTCTATATCATATATTCTTTTATGTTACGTTAACTTATTGGTATCGATAGCCAGCCTGGTTAGTCTGACTTATACATTATTGGGATGCCTTGAATCGAATGTTTGCAGAAACATATTCCACGATACCGGAAATCAATCAGCATGAATTGACTAAGTGTGCGACGTACCTGAAGGAGTTGCACGGCAAGTATGATGGGGCTGCCGGGTTCTCGAACTTTCCCAAACGAGGCTCGTCTTATTTAACTTTACTCTCAAATATAAGTACTCTGCGATGGCCGGTATCAAATGCTGTGACACACAGTGATCTCCCAACAGTGCATGTTGACGAGCAGTTGTTACTATTCCAGGACTGTGACGTTCGTGCCCGCAAGCATGCTGGGGAAGTGAAGGGTGGTACAAGAGACACCCCAATTATCAACTTCAAGCTGAAGCTCATCGATGCTAAAAGGCAGAGAACGAAAGTATGCGTGGTGTTTCCCAGAGTATTATTGGGCGACCAGTATTTTATGTTGCTGCTATGAATATGATACTTGAAAACTCAGCAGACCATCGGATGGTTTTACGCCTGGCTGCATCGTCCAGTGAAAGTCTTCCTTGGCGTCCATGTTCGCATCTCTCTTCAGGATGAGTAGTAAGACATTTGAGTTCCGAGATGGATCAGTCACGCATGTTAATTGAGGAATTCAAGAAAGCGAAGGCTGATTGGATGATGTTGAAAGGGTTGTATGATGCACGAGGTCAAGCGAATATGATGGAAAAGAACGGTGTGTAGACCGAGTTACAATTGCGTCACCAAGAATGTGGATCAATTCAAATTTTACGTTCGATGAGATGTCGACAGTTTTGACCGTGGATACACTATGGAAACCAATCAAGAAGCGTTTGGTATCACTGATGTTTCGGGGTGGCACGAGGATGACGATGACAAGGTACTTGTGCAGTCGCTTGCACAAGATATTATAAGTTCAGTCCCTATTGTGGTTATCCACGTTTTACAACACTTGGTAATGGGCAACAGACTTAAGATTGTGCAGGACCTCCGTACATATGGGCACTTCAATATGAGACTGGACATTTGTTGCACAAAGGAAGAGTACGTTAATCATATTATGGAATTGTCGCATACGTTGTTGACAACATGCGTTCATCCCCACACTGTATTTAAACACCAAGCTGGTCTTCAGTTCCGCGGTATTCAAGTCAATGAATTATCATTTGATACAGGAAGGATATGTATACAGGAATTTGGAGTTTGCGTGTGAGATGGGGAAGGTGTCTGTGTCTCATGGCGAGACCCTCGTACAAAAGTGGTCTAATGGGATGCAACAAATGAATCCACGACTTTTACATTCAATGCCAATTCCCGAAATCCCGGCAGATGACGACGATGCGCTCATGAAACACGAGGCACGTTTCCGTACTCATCACCCAAGTGCAACTGACTACAATGTGCTATTGAACCACGAATTGCGTTCATTTCTCATGGCCCCTAAAAAAATGAATATAAACTGTGGTGATATGTAAATTGATTCTATTTTTTTTAAATCATGTGTAGAATACATGTATCGGAAATATTTAGTTCAGCAGTTAAATCTTCAGGGTCCGATTTACTTGCAATTGAGTTTCGGTCGAAAGCCGATACGCCTACCGAGTATGCTCCAAGACTGACCGATGGCACTGATATAGTATCGCACTATCATTTGCTCCCATCAAAATCCTTCAACAGTGACATATTGGGCTTTCCATCTTGGATGACATAAAAAGGGAACCAAAAATTGTTTGTCGAGTACAGAACTATCGCTATGTCATCGAGCTCCAGAAGTACCACAGAGCATTCCACTTTCGCGATGCCACCACGTATCTGGCACACCTGTACTCGAGACCAGACTTATCGTCTTGTGAACCGATTCTGCCACATGTCCTTGTCCGCGAATACTCTGATTTGGATATGCGTGGGAATATGACAGAAATGGTGCTAGTTTATTATTTAAATTTGGATGTACAGTACCAAATAGGTACTTACGTCTGTATACTGGAACAAAAGCGAGAATCATCAAGACGTTACTACGTTGACTGCTTCTAGGCCAGGGTATAACAGTTTCAGTTTTCTTATTATTTACCAAAGACACGTATTTTCGGCCATGACAGAACTGGCGGAAAACGTGACTGACCTCAAAACATCTGGCACAAAGTGACGTCGAATGAGTAAGCGACATGGTTGACTGGTCGATGTATGGACGCAATCAGCTGTTACGTGCACCATATGTTGTTGTGAAAGTAGCGACGCGCGATGTGGACAGCGAGCGTACGTACATTAACGTTGATGGGTCGGTGCTGAAGATATAATACGGTGGGGAATTTTCATGGTCAATGTCCACCACGACGGCCACACATGTGTCTGTAACTTGCAGTCCGACTACAGATGTCGATCCAGTTTATGCAGCGAAATCGGTCTCACTTGGACCTAAGCCTAGTGAGAAACATTTGGAAACATCACAAACCTGTCTCGAGGACCTAACGAGGCTGGTGATATCGAACCAATTGTCATCAGACAAATTTGACGTCCAGGAGGCATCGATCAGAACATGTTTCTGTTTTGGTCGATGCAAAGTCAAAGACATCCATAACAAGGTCTGATTTCCAGTAGAGACGGCTCGGGAATATTTCAAGCTCGCCGGACTTGTGAAGTTCATTTTCGGCTATGAGCATGGGTGGACCATTTTCACTACTTATGTATCACGTTCAGATTACTAAAATGGGAACGCAGACAGAGTTTAAGAGTCGTACCGTTCACAATATGATGACATGCCATATCAATAACAACGACATCCTAGTACACAATATGATGATGAGAAAATTGAATGTCGCTAGACTTAGGAAGAAGGGCATTTTAAGTTCCAGAATAATATGTTACTTTATCGTTACTTGTACGATATTAACCTGAAAATAAACTATCAAACTTGAATATCGGATTGTCATTTAGTGTCATACACGTCTGACGTAAAGGATGCATGATTAATGAAATATATTGTTACAAATATTTTCAATGCATTCACACACCATCATCGACGATAGAAATAAATTGTAACTCAGCACAAATGATTATGGTTATGAAAGTGATGATTTTCGTTACATTCTCGATGATGACGGCTGGAATTGTTTCGTACTTTCAGCGGTTTAGTATTCGTTACTTGTACGATGCTATCCTGAAAATAAACTTTTAAACTTAGAATATCGGATTGTCGTTTAGTGTCATACACGTCTGACGTAAAGGATGCATGTTTAATGAAATATATTGTTACAAACATATTCAATGCATTCACGCACCATCATCGATGATAGAAATAAATTGTTACTCAGCACAAATGATTATGGCTATGAAAGTAATAATTTTTGTTACATTCTCGAATATGACGGCTGGTATTGTTTTGTACTATCAGCGATTTAGATACATGCAAATTAAAGCTGATGTGTCTAGAATAAACGAATATTCTATCGTGTTGCAGAGAGCAATAGCCGATGTCACCCTAGTGCTACCACACGATGAACAGAGACAAAAATCAATGGATCAGGTGTAAAATCATTCCCATCGTGTCCATCAGGAACGCATGGTAAACCAATCGTGGGCTGCGATGTTCATGGAGGTAACGGCGTCCAAACTCTGTGCTAGCTTTGCCATAACGGTGCCAGTGTACCGTTTTGGTCTGTTGTTGTGGGTGTTAGCATCAGATTGGAGTGAAATATATTTGAAAGGTTTCTTGTATACGTTTCGGATCGTATTATGATCTGCGACCCGTTTGAATTGTACATAGTGTCGACTGTGAGTATGTACTCATTTTGCTTGTACAGTTTCTGGAGTAAAATATCGACATGTCGACAGGGGTATTTACTCGTCGCTAGGTAGATTTGGGTCAGCAAATTGGGCGGCGAGCTTGCTGATAATGTCTTTTTTCTGCATGTCATCGTTTGAGAGACAGCTCGTCATCTTTCAGGGCTTCGTCATATTCACGTAAAGGTCATCAGCGCTGGGAATGGTGGGCTGCTTAGTTTTTTTTTGTTTTTTTTTAGACGTCATATTTTGTAATCACAGTGCAAATGTTTAAGTCAAAAATCATATTAACAGAAATATACTAACATTGAGCGAGTTACTAAAATGTCTGAATATAATAGGTTATTTATCGAGTTACTGATGACACGTCCAGGCATGTTCACAGATGCTTCAAACATGGTTCTTCTCTATGTATTCGCGGGGTCAAACATGACAGGAACGTGTCACAAATCCGGTACAATCTGGTAGAAACTAGAATATGTTGAAACGTAAAAACCCGACAACGTCTAATTTATTAAAAACATAGCTGAAAATAAGTGTGGTTTCTGCTGTATTTGCAAAAAAAAACCCCCCCCCATGCTGCATGACACAAGCGTCAAGCACCAGAATGCAGCTGACGTGTTGGGGTGCAGCGTGAGCACGATGCGGAGTTGGCGAAGGAGGTCGAAAAGAATATTCTGGACGACCGGTAACCAACACTGCTCTGATGGGTCGAATTCGACCCATCAGAGCATAAATCACAGATTGATAACCTATAACAAATTCTCAACCAATCAGATCAATACAAGGTTAAAGCCATCGTACAGTTCGGTATATAACGGACCACGCTCTTTATTACCCTGTTTTATTGTACACAGTCAGTGTCGACCGTGAGCAGGATGCAACTGACGTGTTGGGGTGCAGCGTGCGCACGGTGCGGAGTTGGCGAAGGAGTTGTGCCATATATCGAAAAATATATTCTGGACGGCCGGTAATGTTTGGGTTTACAAAACATTAGAGCCTGTTTTGAAGATACCAAAGCTGCCTACACGAGGGGTCAAGCACGATGGGCAGCAGGCGTCCACAGATGATGTACTCCAGCAGTTTCGCGCAGCAGTTTCGCGCACAACAAGAGGACGAAGAACTGATACATGAATCAAAAGCTCGAAAATGGGACAATTGAATAAAAAAATTACAAACAATAATGTTGATCAATGCCCATAGTCCTCGTAAATCAGGACAGAGGCATCAGGTTTATATTGGAAATGGTGGGACTCGAAATTTACATGCAAAGAAAGAAGGCAGTTTTGTGTTTGGAACACTTTTAAAGTGTTTTGACGTTTGGACCGGAATTATGGGAACTAATGCTAATAAACCAGTAACTTTCGTTTTCGGACATTCTGGTGTTCAAAGAAATATTCCCATTATTTTTAGCAGTCTTGCACGCGATCTTGTACTGGCTTCCGCCGGATTCTTCTCGTGACTTGCTTCGGTGTTCAATTCCGCTTGTGCCTCGGCAGTTGCTTCGGTATTTGATTTCCTTACTGCATTCCTCGTCTATCTCTGCAACTGATTTATTGCCGTCCTTGGCACTTATCCTTTTCTATACCCGAGTCGTTGTCTTTCTCGGCACTCCGCTATATTTATATTATACATATAAATATATATATATATATACATATAAATATATATATATATATATATATATATATATATATATATATATATATATATATATATATATATATATATATATATATATATAT